TCTATTTTATGTGACTTATGTGTCCTCTGTAGAAGTTGCATTAGAATGCTTTGGAAAAAGGCAGTAACTAAAATGCCAGCAAATGGGAATGCATTATCACTATCTTTTGGTTGGACAGTATAATAGCTGTAGAAAAGGTCTTTGTTTTTACTTCTGGAGAACAAATCTCAGTGTTCAGTAGGTCAAGAAGGATTTTAAAATTATATTTCAAAATGCTCCCTTTAGAGTTAAAGAAATGGACAGGTCTTTCTGTGCACATCAGACTTTCACCTCTTTCTTCCAACTGATACCAATTTGCAGTTATTAATTAAATAGAATTGTTATTTTTCAACAGAATTGGAGTAGTGTTATGGCATTATTTGATAAGTAAAGATCAGTGCACCATTTTTTTTTGAAGATGTAAAAGCAGACAGCTTACCACGGAAACAGTGCTAGGCTAGTCAAGCCTTCAGCTGCTGCTCCTGAGTGTCCTGAGTTAGATCTCCTTTGGAAACAGACTTGGCCAATTTAGACAGGGTGCTTCCCAGGAAGCTGCCAGACTCTTTTCAGAGTTGAAAGTTCACTGAACATACCTTAGTAAAACTAGAAGGACTGAGGACTATGTCTATGTAAATGTAACTTTGCCTATTGACATCCTGGAGGACTAATAAAGGATTATTTGAAATCACTCAGGTGAAATAATTTCATTAGTTACACTGTAGAGGAGTTTGAGAGTATATGGAATTATCTGGTCAAAAGCCATTAAACTCTTCATCATTAGAAATTGCCCTTTTTAGCAGGATCCACAATATGGAGAAATACAGGTATTCTCAGCAACTGTGATATTTATGTAGACTTTCAAAGTAATGAACAGTACTTGCACAAGTACCAGAATCATGATCAGAAGGGCATTTGTGCATGAAAATATCTGGAGACACTGATTTTGGGATATCTCACGCAAACAGAAGGGTGAAGACTGCAAAGATAAATGATTTCTCAAACAAGCTGTTAAAATTAACTCCTGAACTACCAGTGCTAGGAGTTCTGTCCAAGGAAAGGTTGGGTCTGTTCAAATTGCTACTGAATATTTTAGAACTTCTTTATTCTTATGTAGATAATAAAGCTTTTGACAAATCAGAAATTAATTCAGTAGGGAATTTAATACAGTTTTATAATTTCCACAAGGGGAAAAGCATGTAGAGTTTTTCTGATGTATTGAATTCTAGAAATTGAGACTTCTTGCTAGGCTAGAAGCACAAACTGACTTGTCCAGCAGGTGATTTTGATTAAGTTGGAGGGTTTTTTAGGCTACTATATCTACAGGTTATTTCATAGAATCCTAGGGGTTGGAAGAGAACTCGAAAGATCATCTAGTCCAACCCCCCTGCCAGAGCAGGGTCACCTAGAGCACATCACACAGGAACATGTCCAGGAGCGTTTGAATGTCTTCAGTGAAGGAGACTCCACAACCTCCCTGGACAGCCTGTTCCAGTGTTCTGTCACTCTCACAGTAAAAAAATTTTTTCGGATATTCACCTTGAACCTCCTATGCTCCAATTTACACCCATTACCCCTTGTCCTGTCACTGGTCATCACTGAGAAAAGCCTAACTCCATCTCCCTGACACTCACCCCTTACATATTTGTAAACATTGATGAGGTCACCCCTCAGTCTCCTTTTCTCCAAGCTAAAGAGACCCAAATATTTGCCCAATAAGTACATTAACACTGAATCCTAGTAACTTTTTGCTAAATAATCATTAATGTTTGTGTCTAGTTTGAATAACTCCTGCCCTTTTGAAACACCAGGGGGCTCACCGACTGCTTTTGGAGTTGCATTTTGCTTTTGATGTTATGTCCATAAACCAGCAAATGTCTAAAGCAAGGATGTGCGTTTTCTTAGGAGGAAACTTACTTGCTAAGCTTGGTGGTTTTACCTAAATCTAGACTTTCTATAATTAAATATAGACTTTCTATATTAATACTTTGATTAGCCAAAAGAGATTAATTAGTTCTCTTGGTCAGTAGGTTCTGGTGGTTATTTTTGGCTTGTGTGGCTTTTTGTTGTCGTTTTGTTTTTTTGTGGTGTTGTTGGATTTTTTCCCCATGGAAATATTTCCTGAAAGTTTTGTTTTTTTAAATTACTGGTTTTGTCTGTCTGCTTGACTTCTTGTATTCGCACATTATCATTTCCTAAGAAGCAGTTACACAAATGTACCTGAGTTGTTAGACTCAGAAAAATGGAAGAACATTTTGAAAAAGCCAAAAATGTGGTTGTTTCATCAACATGCAATAATAAATATTATTTAAAAGTATTGTCTAGTGTGTGGATTAGCTTCCTATCTTACTGTCTAGGAGTTGACTAGCAATTGGGTAATTGAAGTGGTTTCTGTTAAGATCAAAATGTCAATCAGTTGGAGAAACTAAAGGCAGCCAAGTACATATGGGACATCTTGTAGCGTCACACACTTTGTGACTGTTCTGGTTGAACTGTACTGACTCTGGAGCTGTTCCTGCCTTTTTTCCCCACAGGTAACTCTGATACTCAGGGCAATCTGTCTTGGGAAATGACACAGGACAAAAATTGATTCCATAGACAACAATTTCATTTGCAAAAGTTTCTGTTTCCTGAACTGACTTGGTGTTGGGATAGGTGAGCATTACATCTCTTATGCAAAAAAAAAGCCAGAATGTGCTAGGAGGAAGAGGAGAGGAAAAGGGAAGGACTGTGGCAGTACTGGCTTGAGTGATTTTGGTTCTTTTATAATGCTGCATCTTTAGGCACTTTTTCAGAGCACTGAATTAAAAGTTTAGTTTAAAAAAAGGAAAAAAAAATAACTCTTCTGTGTGGTGTTTCCAGATTTGTATTAAATAAATTAAAAGATTCAGATGTGAGTTTATGAGAAAATAAGCTTTGGCAAAGCAAAGCAACTGTCAGGCTGGCAGGGCAGATTTTAGCTTCCTGAAATCTTTTGAGAATTTGTACGTTAATATCTAAAGCTGAGCTTGCAGGTCTGGCACATGGTAGCAGGGCAGAATAAATCTTTCTTGTACAATACGCAAAATTATTGGAAAGCTTCAGTTAGTAAATTAGAAAATATGCTGTGGCCAAATGATCAGTTTCATGTGATCTTGGTCTCTGTAGCCAGGGGTAGGCAATGCTCCATAGGCATAACGTCTACCACTTGGTGGCCTATAATCAGTTCTGCATTGGGGCAGAATGCCTCATTGTTGGAGAGCTCCTAGGCTGTTTTTCAGTGAAATCAAGCAAGGGACACTGCTCCTGCCATCTGGCATATCAGTTCCATCCATGACCTAAGACAGTTTCTGCAGAGCCTTTTACTTGCTGCCTTTCAGCTGAGATCTGACTCCAGGCTAACCTTCTGGTTGAAAATGCTCACATATTAAATGCAGATGATAATTTTTTTTGTATTTGTAAACCTGCACTTGTAAGTGCTCTAGAGTAATTTAACATCCCTGAATCTTCCTGCAGGATAGATGTGCATTTATGCTTCCAAACACAGCAAAGAAACCTTTATTTTCACAAGTGTAGCAGTGCCCTAAACAATCTGTTGTCAATTATTATAGTCTGGTTTAATGCAGATTTTTAATTGACATGACTTCTCTATGTGATTTGAGCAAAGGAAAGAGGGAGAAAGGAAGTACAAGATTACTATTATCAGCCTGTCCCAAGGTTGTTTTAAATTTAGGATTACAACTGTTATTTAACAGAATTGTCCTTGACACACATGGCCTCAAAGAAGAGGTCTGCAAGCAAGGGCAGAGCAGGGTTGTCAGCCGACAGCCTGAAGCGGTATCTTTGAAAAGGTCTGAAATGGTCACTTTTTGTCTAGAAGATGACCTCTGGCATTCCCAGTGCTGCTCTGTCTTGTGGAGGAGGGGAGGAAGGACAACAGAAAGGGAGGGAAAATCTTTCTGTTACATGAAGTCAGGCTGTTACATGAAGTGTCCCTTAAAGAAGCACTCCTCCAGAGCAGGTGTGGAAGGCGGTGGTTGGTCAAGGGAGGTGTTGGACCTGCTGGAGTGGCAGTGGTCCTTCACCAGGCCTGAGGGCTGTGCGTGTTGTCCTTGCAATGTGCTTGGGGAGGGACAGGTGGTCTTCGGGCTGTGCACTTGGGCCACCTCCAAAAAGGACAGTTTGGGTTAGGTCTGGCTGATAGTGGTGGTACAGAGCATGAGGTGTCTTTGAGTCAATCTGCTGCCCTGGTTTCTGACGTGGATGTCCTCTGCTCTCAGTGCAGAGCTGCTGTGCTCGGTTCCCAGAGGCACTTTGTTAAAGGGGTATTTATTTTTATGCTAAACACGTTTTTGTAGCAATATGCTTAGTTGTAAAAGTTCTCTGGTATTATTTGTGCAAAATGACATGTGACAGTAGCTACAGATGCATACAGTAATTTATAGTCATAGAAGATTGTATCGTAATAACCTCAAAACCTCTCCTAGGTGTTCTGCCTGCCCACTTTACCTTTCTTCTTCCATTATTGTCCATACTGAGTTTAACCAGCTAAAAAAGTTTCTGCCAGACTCTGAAAACTACTGTGAGCTTAATTTTCACCCTAAAAATTCCTGTTGGAGGTTTACTTCACTCGGTTTCAGAGGTATATGCTTAATGGAAAAACATCTTACTTGAATTAATATATAACACAATAAATTCCTTTACTAAAAGTTCTTTTTAGTATGCTTTGATCATAAGCATAAAGGTAGCTGTAGAGATCAACTGGTCAAACATGGAATTGACATGATAGGCAATACTGTTATATAAAAAATTAATTATATCCATTAAAAATATAACATATTTCTTACAGTAACTATATCACTACCACCCAGAAAACAGGGCAACTGTCATTTCTGTATTGAGTGTTTCATAGTTCTAATGCATCCAACGTAAGTTTAATTAAGCATTTAATTAAGTATGTTTAATATTGAGAATGTTCTCAAGTCGGTATTTGTTGTTGCTTCTTGCTAAATCAACATTATAATCCTGCTTTCGTTTCCCTACAGATGATGAAACATGCCTGGGATAATTATAAGCGTTACGCATGGGGATTAAATGAACTGAAACCCATATCTAAGCAAGGACATTCAAGCAATTTATTTGGTAAGTAGAGCGTATTTTTGTGCTTAGTGACGTTAGCATAAAACAGTAGATCAGCTGAAAGGCTTATAGGTGATAAATACGTGTTCTTTCTACCCTATGTCATGCAGTGTGGTGTTTCTTGCCTATATATAGAAAATAAAAGTAGATCAAGGTGATGCTTTCTGTGCCTTCTGAATGAGAATAAATGAAGCATGTCATTGCTGCGTGGTAAAGATGTAGTTTTGTTGCATTAAATACTGCCCTGCCTTAAATTTTTCCTATGAGGTGGAACTCATTGATGTCACATTCAATAAGCAGGAAACAAAAACTACAAGGGGGGAAAAAAAGTCCTCTACAAGAAACAAAAAATACTCTCTGTGGTCATGAAGGTAGAAGCTGAAGCTGCTTACAGTTCTCAGTAATTTATTTCCACTACTTAGAAAAACTTGTTAATCTGTGTCAGTCATACTCGCTTATGAGGCTTTCTCTTTCATGAATATGACCATTAATTGCACCTCTAAATGTTGCAGAGGAGAGGCTTAAATAGCTCCCAAGTTGTTATCGGTGTAGAGCAAATACAGGGCTGAAAAGTTGTAGTAGGAGAGGCACACGGCAGAAATTCAGTCTAATGAAGCAAGACTTTTTCAATGTCCCAGTGGGACATAGGGCTGCTGGATAAATAATAGCTGAAATGCAACAACATTCTGAGGAAGCAGTCCTATGAGCTCTCATCATCTTCAGTTTCACAGAAAAATGAAAAATTAAGCTCTTTGATAGCAATCTTTGTATTCAAATAGCTTGTTTTCCAAACAGAAAGCTGAAAAATGAATTAATTTCTATAGTTGAGACAAAATCAATACATTATTTTGATTTTAACAGGAACTTATTTTATTGAATGCTTGGAAAAGATAGTTTGAAGTGGAAACAGTTCCTAAAGCAGCCTAAATAGAGCACTTATCAAATCTTCAACTATATTTGGAAGTTGCTAAGAGACAGCAGTTGTGATTACAAAAATACTTTTGAAAATAAAAGATCTACATTGATCTTGCCTGCATTGCGTGTCTATCCAAGGTAACACTGAAAATATTACTAGGTAATTCTTATATAGTTATTTACTGGACTTTAAATATTAATTGGGTGTTTAAAACAAAAAAGTTTATGTGAACTTTAGGATTAACTTGGGCTTCTCTTCTGTTTTCTTGAAAAAAACACATTTTTAGAATTATCTTCATTTGGATGGCTGATAGTTGTGGAATTTCATATCCTAGTTGAAGAACTGTTTAATGCAATCCTGTTTTCTTGGAGGACAGCAATGGTACACAATATCTTAAAAATAAAAATATTTAATCTAGTTTCATTGGAATCAGAAATGGTATAAAAATTACAAGGTTTGAAATTCTAATGATATTGCATGAATTCACAGAAAAAGGAGTAGATATATTGACTTGTGAAATTCTTACACACGAGTTCTGTGGATGTCGCATAAGAGTTAAGTCACTGCAGGTACCATTCAGTGTGATCCAGGACAAGCATTGAATTTGAAACTAGAACTGCCAGAGTCAGTCTAAATGCAGCTCGTTTTCTCATCATGGTCATGAAGTATAAGATCTTATTGCTGAGGAGATTTCGTTAGAAACATCTTCACTCATATTAATCTTGGTGGTAAATCAAAATAAGCATTTGGTCCCTTTCTGCAGAATTGTTTCAGAATGCTTAAGAGCAGCACATCTGCAAGTACTTCTGTCTCATAAGCTATCCTTTTCCTTGATCTATAACCTCCTTTTTCTTTGTTATAGTGTCCTCAAATCACTAGATCTGATCTGTACTTTCATGTTTGTATTCAAACTTATTTCAAGCCTTATTTTACATAAAGCTATAAAAGGATGATCTGGTTTTGATTGCCTTTTTTTTTTTTTTTTTTTTTGGTGGGGGGAGTGTGAGGCAGGAAGGGAGTGGTACTAAACCTAGGCCATTAAATCAGCTTTTGAAGACAAGCACCTGCCTTGATCTTGCTGGTTTTCTGTGAACAGCATGTGTGGACAGTTTATTTAATAAGTTGAAGGAATGTGTAGACTGTAGACATACTCATGAGCTGAAGTTTTTTCTTCTCACATGTGTACACTAAAAAATATTTTTTGTTTAGAAAAAGGCTGAAACATATATAAACTGAAATATCTCTGTTTAAAGCCAAAGCCGCATGCTTGCCGCTGATCATTGTAAAGTCTATTCAGCACATCCATGTACAGTTTTTATCTCCTTTAATTTGCCATTTTAGATTTTTATTATGTTGTCTTGGCAGGTATCTAACATTATTGGGAGTTTTTTATAGTTTACTCCAACTGCAAGGAATGCAGTTACGGTAACAACTATTTGAAAAGGCAGAGCTGGAAAGGCATCAGTTGTTGCCTCCATATCATTCTTAGTTTAGTTTCATGAAGTCTACAACTATTTCTGGACTAACCAAGTAATTGGAATAGCTAAACAGGTGTTGGCACCATACCTGTGCATCAGGAGAGCAAGGCATATCTCCTATGCTGGTTTGACTCTTGATATGCATTCTAATCATTGTCTACCCATACCTGGTAGAATGTAAGCCCTGAATAAGTGCCGTTAACTCTTACTACTTTAGCCTTTAAAGTTTCAGATTATGATTAACAACTTTTACTAAAATAGAGCTTTATCCATTTACCCTCGTAGTGTGGAAGAAAATGGCAAAATCACAATTTTGCCAATCTGTTTCATAGCACCTCACCACTGGCACCCCTCCCTTCCCCACAACCCAAAAGCTCTTCCAAGTCTTTAAAACTAATGAGCATTGCTGCACTGGTGGAGAGGTCTTTCTAAAAGTGTTTTCTATGCTTGAGTGAGTGTTACTAAAGGGCTTTTTTAATTATCAGTAACTGTATTTAATGTGCAGTATTGCAAGTTTAATAATATTATAACTTGTGGGCATAGTATAATTAGTCTCTGCAAGTAAAAAGGACTTTTTCTGGAGGGGGAAAGGGAGGCATTTAATAAACACAAGCTGCAAAGCCAAAGTACTATAATTTAGGAAGAGCCTGTTACTCCCACTTTGAACTGATTTTTGTAGTTTCTTGTGCAGAGTATTGAGGTGTATATTCAAAACTGTCTTGCAGTCTATGCCAGTGTGAAAAACTGCTTATTATTATAGCTCTAGAAAATGAGCTGTACATGTATTTAAACTACATGTTAATATAAATGGAAAAGCTTCAGCATCATCTCCCTCCTATCTTGTTTCTCTTCACTGTTGCTGCTGGATTCCTTAGAATTTTTTAGACATCTGTCCAACCAAATTAATGGAAACTCACCTGAAGGATAACTTGGGCAGATACATGGATGAGTAACTTGACACAGCGTTAGTAAGGGGAGGTCATGCTGCACAACTGCTGTTTTTCCAAGTATGTTGGCCAGTATGAAGACAAGGAAGTTTATTGTCCTTTTAGATTTCCAAAAAACATTTTTGGGGTTACTACTGGCCTCTGGCAGGGATCTAGTATTGCTGAGGCCATGGTCTCAAATAACTTGTCACAGCACTGGAAAAATCAGGTGACCAGAGTGACTGGCAGCACTCACAAGTCTCTTGAGGTAGCTGCAGCCATGGCAAACTGCAGGTAGTTCCATGAACCCAGAAGGATTCCCTGACAGATAATTGCTCTTTAAAATGGTAAATGTGGTCTAACATACCTAAATTTCAACTGGCACTTGGTGACATGGGAGATATGATTCAAGTTAATATGGAGAAGTGGCAGGACTTGGACTCAAAATAAGTAGTAAAGGTTGAAAACTTCTCAGTATAATGTATGGACCCCCATAAACAGTGGCCTGGATGTGATGAATAAGCATTTATTGTTCCCTCTGGGTAACGATACCCTTTGTAAGAGGTGGAAATGCCAAATCAGAAGGTGGCATGTTCAAACAAGCAAGAGAAGATGGTTCATAATGAACCGTGTAGTTGAGCTGCATGAGTGCCAGAAGTGAGGTGGGTGCCAAAGGCTTCCATGGAAAATGGAGAGATGAGCAATGGAGGAAAAATTAATCAAAGCTCTGTTAAATACAAAGGTGCCAGAATTGTCTGTGAAAGGCACAGATATGCAAAATGCTAGACATTGTAAGAGTATTGGAGAAACATTACAGCATTGTTTCATGCTACACATATGAGAAGTTAGAGCTGTAAAACTTTGTAAGTATTGTTTATTTTCCTGTTCTTACCAGCTGGTGATAGTGACTGAAATAAAAAATGTTAGTGTTGCTGGGGGTTTGCCAGTACTTGAGTAGGATTTTCATGTTTTGGCATAGCACACTTTATTAATTAATCACTCTTGACACTTTAAATTGCTAATGATATTGGATAGGAACCTTTTCAGTGAACTTTAAATGAAGGTAAACAGTGTTTTAAAATCTGAGTCAGCTTTTGAAACAGTGCTCTAAGAAACCTGCAGCTCTCATCAGAACTTGAATTTTTCCAAACCTATATGTATTCTTGAATATGTTGAAAGTAATGTTATTTAAAAGTTGTTACTGTACAGTGTATGTGCATATAGAGCTGAAAAAAAGGGATGCTGGACTGACTTTTAGTTTGCATATTTAATATTAGAAAGTGTCTGGTCTTATTCCCCGTGTTAAGAAAAGTAACTGTTCTTAATGGCCAAATCAGGGAAAAATTGTGGCATGTTTCTGTATGTTTGGCTGGAATTTTGAGTCTGGAGTGACCAGTGGGAGGAAGATTTCATAGAATACATCTGCTTTGACTGAGCTTCTTCAATTTTCCATAACTGGAAGGTGATGAGTTTGCCTTAGTGGCTGAAAATAATGGAGAGTCTAAGATCAGTGTGGGGCTGAGTGCAATTCAAATATGACTATGTATAAAATGTTCTTTTTCTTTTCCACAGTAGTACAAAGTATCACTAAAAAAGCAATTCTTATGACAATAATAGAGGAAACATAATTTTTAATATTTGCACTTACTTTAGGGAATATCCATTATTATGTCTATGTGCTGAATTTCCTTCACATTAAACAATTACAAATATGAATGTCTTACATTAATATTCATAGTTCATATCAGAAACAGAAAACTGTCACTGTTTTTCTGGAAGAAAAAACCCAGCATTCTACTTCTCTCCTACAGTCATAGAAGAACAAGAAATCATAGTTTATGGCACTTCTTGGATGATGAACTGTTAAAAGGCAAGTGAGCTGGTGTATAGCATGACCTGAGGCCACTTCATAGTTTATCTTTCCTTATCTTCCATTTTTGTAGTATTCTTTGCCACAGTTTCCTTCCAGACAGAACATGAGACATAGAAAAAGAAAAGCAGTTGAATTCAAGAAGAGTAAGGAGCCTGGTTTCCGTCATGACAAGATAGTGCATTAGAATACGTCTGACACCTTCTTCCATGTAATGTTCTATATGCAATTCACAAATCTTCATTGCTTTCATGTATATGCACACGTGTGTGTGTATTTGTGTATATATACCTATCTTCAAATGTATTTGATGATTAGGAATGTGATTATTCCGGAGAACCAAACCCCAAACGTCGTACACAAGGGAGGGGAGGGAAGTTGTAAACAAACTATTAAGTGCATCTTCATGCATTGATTCTGGCATCCTGGCTGTATTCTATTCCAGACTCATTTGGCAAAAATATAAACCGTGTCTAAAAGCCTGAACTAAACAAAAGCTTATTTTGGCCCACCCTGCAAACAGTTTGGCCATAAGCCAGTTGTGGTTCTTAAACCATATGGCCACATAAGCTCAGTCACAGAGTTGTGCTAAAAAACTTGTCATCCGTGGCAGTTCTCCTTGCAGTGACACCTTGGAAACTCATAAAAAGTTACTAATCCTCTGATCACTTTTTTTATTCTGCACTGCCCCTCCGCCTCTGAGGTGCAACTCTGTTCTCTAATGTAATCTTTTGTTCTTACTTGTGTGCACATACCTTTGCATTGTTAGATATTGGAAAGCATGCTGCTTAAATGGAGCCACTGTGTACTACCCAGGGGTGATCTAGACTGCTCTGTGCTTTATATCACACAATTCTGAAATGCTGGGTAATCAGACATCTTTGTTAATCATCCACAGATCTTGTCAGCAGTAGGTTCTTTAATTTTCTTCCAGATCATTGATAAAGATTTCAAGTGTTAAACTGAAAAGCAAGCTCTGTAGATGAGGCTAGATAGACCGCCCAAAGTTTTATGTTGACTGATTTCTTTTGCTTTCTCTTCAGTTAAATACCATGTAGGCTATTAATCACTGACATGGAATAAATGATGCTGTTAGTAAAGAGGAGAGAGAAAAAGAAGTAGGTTTAACAATGACATTAAAATGGAGCATATGCGAGTACTTGGTCTGGTGGTTTTGGTAGATACCAATAATGTTTCAGTTTGGTGGGCTTGTACATCTGTTCATTATATCATCAGAATTACTCACTTTTAGCTCGTGTTTTATGAATTTCAAGTGCCTTTTCTCTATCTTGAGAGATATACTCATTTTTTGTGTTATCTGCAAAATACATCTGCAGTTACCTGAAATGCATGAATTTGCACCAAGTATCGCCTGTGATTTCTTCCTTCTGCCTAGAGCAGCTATGAAACTTTGCCATGGTGACTGGAACTTTGCTGGCACTTTTTGTAACCTAGTGCTCAGAGTTAATCAAATTTATAACAGTACATTAAATGTATAACAAAATAGTCTTCCTGTCCAAACATTCTTGTCTCGTGTGAGTGTGTGTTGTAATTGCCTAGCAATAATCTTTGCCTCTTGTAGACCATGGCTGCTATGTCATTCCTTGGGAATGTTGTGTAGGAGCTAACATGAATGGTAACTGTATTTAAGAACTTATGTGTCTGCTTTCAGAAGTGTAGCATATATAGACTTGCAAAAAATTTATCTTAGTCTGTAATAAGAAATGTTCATTTTACTTCTTTGCATTCCTTTTTCTTTTTTTCTTTTCTTTTTGATTTCCTCTTCTTGTTTGTCTGAGTTATAAGTGAGCTGTTCAGCTACACGATTTCCCTAACAGTCTTAAGTTTGGATTATTATGTTAGCTAACAATGTAACTGCAGTTATTCATAAGTCACAATTCTGGCCTCTAAACTAATAACTGTTCAAAACAAATTTGACTATTTAATTGTCACCGTAATTGCTTTATTCTGTTTTCTGGATCCCTCAGAATAATAGAAGTTGTTTCAAATGAAGTAAGGTCTAGTTGAGGTTCTCTGATTTTCTTCTGTCTGCCTGCAGGACAAAGTTAATGCTCTAAGCAGGCCATATTAGCCAGATTCAGAAAATAAATCATAGAAGTGGGTGACTCCAAGGGTGATTTCTCAATAAGGTTGAATTCTCCTCTTTTTCTTCTCACTCTGTATTGAGTTATACCTCAAGTACTAATCCTTAAAATCAAAAGCTCAACTGTTTGGAGGTAGTGTTAGCTGTATTAGAAGAGGATTATCACAAAGAATGTCATTGCACAGTGTGCCTATCACAATCCACTCAAGCAAACCAGGTTATAGATGATTTTTCCATAGAGCTCAGTTGTAAAAGTTTACCAGGAGCTGCTTTTGCTGTATGGAGTTACTGAACATCTCCCGAGCCTTTGCAGTCATGTTCCTGAGCACATGTCCTCCAGCAGTTTTCTACCATCACTCTCACTTTCGCATGAGCTCAAGAAAAATACTAGTTACTTGCAGGTTCAGAGGAATGCTTTTCCTTCAATATGAGTGAAGGGCAGCCGAGCTCCAAACAATCTGCAGTTTTATTAATGAAATATCAGAGAGAAAACACATAGTTTACTTCCTTCAAAATAGGAAAGGGACATTAAAAAAAGGATGGTATAAGCAATTAGCAGCTACTAAAAAAGAGAAGATGTCTGGTTCTGTTAAATGTACCAAGTAACTGTTAACAATAATCTCAAATATTATTTTGTTTAGGGTGATAGAAATGGAAAATTGTTTTTTACCTGGAAGCTTAACTTTACAAAGTGATGTCAATCCTGCTATATGAAAGTCTCCAATTACTTCCCCATTTCACGAGGAAGTAGAGAACTGATGGTAGTAAAGACAAGATTTGACCGAAATAGTGGATTTCCTATTTAAATATTAATAATTTAGTTCTGATACTTGATAAGTCTACAAAACTCAGTTTGCTTTTTCATCTCAGAGGCAAGATGATAACCAAGTTCTGTACAGTTGTAGCTACTGTCTTGCTATTTGCCCAGTGCAATCCATTCCTGAATAAAGTAGTCAAATATCCACCTGAGTCAATTAGCCCTGTTGGAGGTGGGAGAGATTGGACTTAATGACTGCCTCAGTTCCTTGCAACCTAAATTATTTTGCAGCTCTAAATGTTTACTTCTGTATCTAGGGTTTTCTCTAAAGTATATCTTAGCAGTAGTTACCAATCATAATGAAGATTGCTGAAGGTCATAAATACAAAATTGAGTGAAGTGGCCAAAATCAAATTTTTTACATGATTGAAATTGAATGGAGGTCTTTGTACATTTGAAGGAAGCACACGGAAGTCATTTTAGTGGCTTGGATTTCTCCCTCAACCTCCACATTACCTTTCAGTACAGGATCATGAACATTAAATCCAGGCCAACATGAGCATACCAATGCTAATTACATCTTGCAGTGTTAGGTGAAGGATAACTCTCACCTCTTTTTATAACAGCAGTAGAAAGGTCCTGCTTTTGCAAACAACCAGAAATTGCTCTGAAAACTGGTATCTGCCAGATTCCACTGAGCTGAGAATTTCACGTTTGTGCAAGTTTGCCTTTTCTATCTTGTGCAGATTACATGGTGATTGATGCCCAGTATCAGAAAAATTGTTTTTTGAGAGAGGGGGCTTCTTAAGGGCTTTCTTATCTGAAGTGTTACGAGAACATATCAGCTTCTTAAAGCTTTATGAATATTCTTAAGTGTAAAAACAAAAAGAGGCTTTTTTTTTTTTTCACTCCAAACTGGTAGAAACAGTAGTTTCTCAATTTTATTGCCTTTTATGAATTACATTTTACAGTGAACCGTTCCATCAGTGTTTAAAAGTGCAAAATCATGCTGAAAATGCACTGCATCAGAACTGTTCTTCAAATCTGAATTAGTGAAAGAAATACTTAAATATTACCGTGTTATGGCCTGAGAATCAAAGTTGGAAAGTAAATCACTGGCTCTTCATGTATTTCAGGTAACATTCAAGGAGCAACAATAGTGGATGCCCTTGATACACTGTATATCATGGAAATGAAAGAGGAGTTCAAGGAAGCCAAGGAATGGGTTGAAAAAAACTTAGATTTCAATGTGGTAAGTGGTATTGCTGATTAACATTTAATGTTCTGTTTAGTCTCCAAAGGCCAGTTGAGGACTTGGTTCTAGTATTGCAAGCAAGATACAAGGCTACAGAATTCAGATGACTGATAGACAAGGCAGGGAGCAGAAACTTAATAAACTTACTGCTCTGCTTATATGCAGTTTTTCAGTCTGAGAGATTTAGGTAGATAAGAGGAAATGAGCTGAAGTGAGGGAAGGAAAATGGAATAGAGTATTTACCTTTGTAAAGTAAACAACACTTTTCAGCTCTTTTGGATAGAAGAACTAGGACACTTCAGAATTAATTTTCAGTCAAATTAGGCTTGCATTTACAGGAAGCTGCACACCATAAATCCCACTGTTTAAGTTCATTTGTGTATTCTAGTAAAGTTGAATCCCCTAAGTGATGCTTAACTGTTGGCATGAAGTGAGCTGCTTTAGTCTTATAAGGCACCAGCTCATCGCAACTTAATATACAAATCATCGTATTAACTGGTAAATACAAAGCTGAGAGCAAAGTTAATTTTTAAAGTTTTTATTCTAGAAGAGCCTTCAACAGGCAAGAACCTTTGTAAAACTTCAATTAAATTGAGAAATTTGGGGTTTTTTTGTTGGTTTTTTTTTATTATTATTTTTTTTCTTTTATGGGCCAGAGTATTTATTATAATTGCTGGGTATAGAGAGCTAATGGAGTACCTCTCCTGATCAGTGTGATAAAGTAGGGAGGCACTGCAGGCATGATACACTGAGCACTTAAAAGCTCTTGTAGTTGACATGCCTAATGGCAGAAACACTTGCTGTAAACAAAGTACTCTTTCTAATACGTTATGCAAAAGTCAGGATTAATTAGCTTCTCTTACATGCTTAAGAATTAATTATAATTTTAAGAAGGAAGAGTTAATAAGAGTAGATGTTATATAGTTTATGTAAGCAGCAATTTAGGGTGCATTTATGTTTACATTAATAATGTAAATACAAGATATTAAACTGCTTCTGAGTAATGTTAGGTGAATGACATGCTAAGTTTACCTTGTTTGTAAGATTTTTTATTTTCTGAAAAAATTTTGGTAATATTAAATTCCTGTCTTATTATCTTAGCATTATTAAGATGTTTAAAAATGTGAGAGCAAAACCATAGAAAACAGCAAGCTTCACTTCAAAGGAAGAACTGAGCTTCACTTGGAGGAACATCAGTAAATCACTGTAGAGTGATATACATTAATAACACAAAAATCTTTGGGTTTACATAAAACTTGCTATACTTTATACTAGAAACTTCTAGATGTTACTGCCATCAATTTCAGCTCCTGTTGTTGTTTTATATACTTTAAAAAATCGTGTAGCACCTACTTACTTTTTCTCAGTAATGCTTAAAAGCTATGAAGTCTTTCAAAATGTCTGAAATTTTGTATTGCATTAGTCAGTCAATGCAGCAATCCAGCAGATTTACTGAAACTACTTTACAGGAAATACTGAGATGCATCAGGAACAGGATCTTGTTTCTGATATTCCTGTAAATAGCAACCTTGATTTTGACACCTTACAAAATTATCTGTATTATACTTCATAGTCATATAGAATTGAATTTTACGTTGGCATCAGCAACGAGTAGAATAATTTTCTCAAAGTGGAACATGGGAATGAAAATAAATAACCACAACACCAGCTTTAATAAATGATGTCAGTTTGTTTAGTGGCTGGAATGTTTGAAGCTACTCGGCTTGTACTCTTGTTTATTTTTCCACTTGATATATAAAGTTCTAGTTTCAAATGTTGCTTTGTATTTTTATCTTACAGTTTAAAGTTGGAAATGGCTTAACACAACATCAGGGCCCTCTTTTTTGAGCTTAAGTATTTATAGTGTATCAGACCTTAATTGACATTTTCTGCATTAATGTTATGTAGACTCTTAATTGCTTTTGGTTTAGAAACCTTTCTCCCATGAAAGTGACTGAGCTTTTAATAAGTGACATACTGACATATTCCTCAGTGTAATTTCTTAAGAGTAGTATAAAATGTGATTCTGTTGGATGTTTCTGGTCATTTCCTGGGCAGTAGCTGCCTAATCAGCTCTTAGGGAAGCATATTTGGCCTCTATTTGTATAAACAGGATTATTTTTTTTCTCTCAATTTAATCTTATAGCTAATATTTTTAGACCTTCAATTTCATTTAAGGTGTTTTTTACAAAAATAGCTGTGACTGTATTTGATGGCAGAATCTCTTCTCTATAGAAATCTAGAAAACTGGGGAGAGACTTTTTACCAGGGTATGTAGCAAGAAGATGAGAGGTAATGGATTAAAACCAGAAAAGGGGAGATTTAGATTACATTAGGAGGAAATTCTTCAGTGTGATGGCAGTGAGACACTGGAACAAGTTGCCCAGGGAATTTGTGGAAGCCCCATCCCTAGAAGTGTTCAAGGCCAGGTTGGATGTGGCCCTGAGCAACCTGATGTAGTGGGAGGTGTCCCTGCCCATGCAGGGCATTGGAACTAGATGATCTTTAAGGTCCCTTCCATCCCAAACCATTCTCTGATACTGCGATATTCTGTGTTGATGCAGCTGGATAAAGCAAGTTTTCCTCTCTTGAAATTTGTAATGCATCAGATACTTACTGTGCATGTTGAGCTATTTGGCCAGCACCCGATCATTCTCATCAACTGATAAAAAATTTTCCAGATGTTACTTTATAAAGTAGGTGCTAGTTTATCCTCATAAAAGGATTTTTGGAATACAGGTGATTTAATGGGAAATGGCATCGTTTCATGACATAATAGATTTTTGGTCCCTCAGTTCAATGAATTAATTGTCAGGGTTACTCTTGTTTACCTTTTTGAGGAAGGTGAACCGTTTTGATTTTGAAAGAAAATTCTAAATGGCAAAACTTGTGTGAATTTTGATAAGCTTGTGAATGGACATGTTTGGAAGCTTCCCCTTTTGGAGTATAACTTGTTTAGGCTATTTTTATTATCACTGGAGCTGGTAGCCCTGTGGTTTTATAACTGAGATATCCACATTGCAATGACTGGAGTTCTTTTTCTCTCATAATTGCTGAAATTCCTTGTATTTGGTAACTTGCTGAAGTTTCAGCCAAACTGAGTAGTTCTTCAGAAATGAAGTCGCATTTTCTGATTCTGTCAATATTTTAAGAGATTTAGACATACTTGTACCTTTGGAAAGAGTAGACATTTAGCAGTGGCTAAATCCATGGTCTTTGCATCATGGATGTATGCTCTGTTTTCCGTTAAATCAATTCACTTCCCTGGGGCCTATCTTTGCTCTTCAGTCAATACAGCTGAAGATTTGGTCTGAACTCCCCAGGCATGCTGCTCCCCACACACCCTTTTCCTTGTCCTTGGGCCTGCCTGGAGCTGCCCTGGGCCAGGTTGTGTAACAACACATTGCAGCAGAGGGAAAAAAGGGACAGTCTGTCATGGAATCATTAGGGAGCTTGGCTGTTTCCTAGCTACAGGCACACACTGCTTCATGCTTCTCTGTCTTTATTTTTTCAGTATTTGCTTTAGGACCTGCACACACATGGAGCATTCATAGCTTTCTGAAAGGGTTTCTGTACCACCGCCCAACTTGTGCTTCACGCTGGGGAGGAGAGAGACGTCGGTCTCTGCAGCACAAGGGGTGAACCACAATGAATCCATACTTGGGAAGAGATATCAGAAGCGAGATCTTAATGAGATGAATGAAGGGATTAGGAGTTGGGCAGTAGTGGTGCAGGAGCTGATTCACTTGGCACAGCAGTGAAAGGCTGGGAGTTGTTAAGCACTGGAAGTGGTGATACTTTGCTTCTACACCTGAGCACACCCCAACTTCTCTAG